CAAGAGTCTGCAGCAGACCCACTCTTCGTTACCCTCAGAACCTACGTTCAGAACAGCTGGCCAGCTGACCTGACACCTTTCTCCCGAGTCAGGGCAGAACTGACATGTTGGGGTGAGTCATGCATTGCATGGGGGCACCGAGCAGTCATTCCTCTGTCCCTTAAGGGGTGGGTGCTATCAATGGCACACGAGGGTCACGTGGGGATAGTTAAACTGAAGCAGAGGTGCCGAGATTTGGTTTGGTGGCCAGGGATTGACAGAGAGCTCGAAGCTCTTGTACGCGAGTGAGCACCTGGTCTGCTCAGTGGTAAAACAGGTGCTCCACCCTTGCAACCTGTTGACTGGCCCACCAAGCCATGGGAGCATCTACAGATGTACGTTTGTGGGGAGCTTGCCTCTATTCCTCACCATAAACGGTTCCTAGCTGTGGTGTATGACATCCACTCAAAGTGGCCCAAGGTTGTGCCTATGGGCTCAGTTACAGCCTCCACATTGGTTGATTTCCTGGAGCAGCTCTTTTCCCGATGGGGAATCCTGCGAGCCATTACCACAGACAATGGGCTGCAGTTCGTTTCCAATGAGTTTTCATCATAACAGGCTGCCAGGGGCATAGCCCATATACGTATTGCCTTCTACCATCCTTAAGCTAATGGCGGCGTGGAAAGATTTAATCAAAGTCTAAAAATGACATACATGCACACCTCTCTGCCAGACCCTCTTGCATTATCACGCTACCCTACATGCCACCACTGGGGTGTCCCCTGCCTGTCTCATGCTTGGCAGGGAACTAGAATTACCATTGAGCAGGCTGCGCCCACCTCATCAGCTCCCAGTGAACACTTCGATTCAGGCACGGGTTCATCAACATCAGCGCAACATGAGAGCCAGATATGACAGCAAGCATTCATGTTCAGGCCAAAAAAATGAGAGTACAGGATTGGGTAAGAGCCCGTAGGCCACATTGCAGCAATAAATTGAGCACTTTCCTGTCTGAGCCCTTCCAGGTCAAACGGCAGCTTGGGCCAGTCACTTTTGAGCTAACTAATGCCGGTGGCATGCCAGTTGTCTTCAAAGAGTGCCCACACCTTCTGTAATGGAGGAGAACCTGAACTGACCTATGGACCCCATTCTGCTGCCACTAAATCTGGATCCTGATGTGGTCACCGGACAGGAAGTGAGAACCGAACAGTGTCAGAGCCCACAATCTGAAGATGCCCCTATGACAACTCATCCTGTGAGGACAAGGGCACGTCCTGCACACTTCCAGGACTTTGAAGCTACGTTTCATACTTAAGCTTGGTGGGAGGGGGGAAAATGTTGTGGTTGCTAACCAGTTATTCACTGTTTTTATCTGTTGTAGTAATACTGTTGTGAAGTCATGCTGATGCGCAATTGTATCGTATTCCGTGACTGTTGCCGCTGAAGTTCATTGAGTAAACTGGCATTCTGCCGAAGCTTTGTTTGTATGTGTTATGTTGAACGTAACAACATCTGAACTCTTTCTCCGCCAAACACTGAATTTTCCATTATTCATGAGACAACGCTTCCATTCTGTAATGTTGCTGTTAGAGCATAAACAACGTCTGCAAAGTTACGACGCTCAAAGTTCAATGCAAAGGGAGATATTTTCTTTTAAAGAAATCTTTTATCTACCCTTAATGGTAAGGGGGCGTGATGTTCCCGGACAATGTGCACAAGGCAATTAGTGAATCACAACACACTGGGCCAGCTAACCAATCTGAGCCCACTGCATATTTCTGGGGGAGGGGCTTCAGAGAACCAGGAACTCAACAGACCGTTTTGACGAGAATGGAAACAGCAGTGTAGAATAAAGGTAAAATATGTGAAAATAGTGCAGTTTTAAAAAAAAACGAAGCATGAACACGTTACACTGCACCCGATAAACACAATCAAGCCTTCGAAAAAATTGACCACCCCTTTAATAAAAGGCTTGAAGCTAGAATAAAACGGTTATTTTTTGTTTGAAAGTAGAGGGTCTAATCTTTATTTTGATGCATTGCATGTTCAGATATTCATACAACAAAATATTCTCAGGGCCATGATATTTTTGTGAAAATCAGCAAAAACGCTGGCAGTGGCTGGCAACTTTTTTCAAAAACGCTGGCGGGGAAAGAGTTAATTCTCTAATTGCACCACGTGGAGGCGTGGAGCGAGGACTGAGGAGGCTTCCAGAGGAGCTATGAGCGAGGATACACAGGTGTATCCTATGCAGAAGTCTATCTCGTTGAAAAACCTGACGCACGTGTAAATATTCCTCCCCCTTCACATGTAGTAATAATTTGAATTTATATTTTACCTTTTCAGTTTAAATAAATCATACATGTCATATATTTCAACTGGGCATCTTGCTTTATTAATATTAAATATGATTAATTATGTCTTAAATAACAAACTTTAACAACATATGGGCAGATCCATTTAGAGCAGCTGATGATGCTTAGAAAGTGACACTTGAGTGATCAAGAATATTCCAATGTACAAATAACCGTTACTTTGATTCCTCTGTCCTCATTTTCTTTCCTTGAATCCGTCCCTCATATCTTAAGGGGGGTGGAGCTAAGACACGAGGAAATGAAGCAAGGAAAGGAAACAAGGATGCACAAATAAGAATTGAGAAGCACCCCCTATTTTGTTGTCATGGTTGTTCATTACTATAACTCCTCTACCTTGTTAGCCTTCCTATATAAGACTGTTTACCCAGTCACTCCTTGTGAAGTCTTGTATGTCTGATGTGCTGCAATTCTGAGCATTTCTTTGTTTTCCTGTTGTTGGATTTCTGCCCATGTCCTGGATTCCTCATTCCTGTCTTGCCCTGGGTCTATATGTTTGGATTGATTACATGTGCTCTGAAGTACTGGCTGTGTCTTGGACTGTGACTTTGGATTACGCTAACAATAAACTACATTTGGATCCTCAGTCTCTGAGTCCCTATGCAGTTCATGACAGATTATAAAAACCTTTTATCATCTTTTATTTTTTGTTTGTTTGCTAGAGTTATTCCTATACCTCGGATGACCTCAACAACTATAACAGCAACAACTACTACTGCTGCTACAAGAATTACAACTACACCAGGACTTACTGAGGGGTAAGACATAGTCTCAATTTTTAATAAGTTTGAGAAAAGCTTCTTTACTACATCACTGCAATATGTGAAAGAAAAAGTAAAAGGCTATGCTATATTGTGAACATAGTCACTGGTAAAGAGCACTGTTAGGGGGCGATGCGGTTCTCTGCTTCTATGTCCCCACCAATGTCAAAAGCAAAACTACAATGTAAAAAATCATACGCCCTTGATAGTTACCTTACAACACAGCTTCAGGTACCTTATCCTTTGATTTGATAATGAATCACATGGATGTTTTTCAGTTACAATCTCTATTTGCTTTTATTTATGAACTGGTTTTACAACAACTGAGGACCTCCCCAAATGTCTCCAAATCCGTCCCTGATAGATTCAGTGAGTTAAATTAGTGAAGGATTTGTGTCCTTTGAGTTTTCAAACAGTAACTCATAAGTCTTTTTGAATGATTAATTAACAGGACTGCCTCAAAAGAATAATTTATTAATCAGACTACCTCAGTTGCAGTATGTTTTTGATTCACTAAAAGATCTGGTCATTTGTTTGTAAAATAATTTACTGCATTATTCAAATATATGCATTAAAAATGTTCTTCACATATGTTCTTTTCCTTTAGTGAATGCATGGACATATTTTGCAATTCCAGTGCCAAGACTGCCTCCTCTCTGATCATCTTGGTGGTGTGCTTTCTTTTGCTAGTCAGTTAATCATGAGAAACCGCTATTATCAGCCCTATGTCTGACTTCACGACTTCATAGCCAAAGAACTGCATCTATCTTCTGCTTTTTGCTACATGCATATGATAATTAAATATGTATTGATAATATTAATGTTAAAGCTTGCATTAATCATGATGATTTACACACATTCTCAGGAAAGAATAAGGTAAATATTTGCCATTTTAGTCTTCTTTTTTTCAGTCTGATAAATCACTGCATGAATGCTATTGGTTTTTTAAAAAATGGTTCAAAACTTTTTTTTATTCAAGTATGTTTTAATGTGAATGTTAGAGGGGAAAATGCTCATAAAAAGAGCCTATGCACTCAGATTTGGCCTGTAAATGCAAGATTTTGGTGGCATCTCATGGCACATGACAGAGCTTCCACTGTGAACAAAAGGACATGTACAATTATTTTAGATGCCTAAAAGGAGTGAGGAAAGTCTTCTGATAAACAGCATAACAAACATTGAGAAGCTCAAAAAGAAAAGCTTACACTAACTGTGTCGTACGTTTTTTGTCAAGATGTGATTGGTTTAATGCTACAATTGTGACACAATTCACTCTTTCAACTTTTTCACTCCTTGGTGACACTAAATATTGTACTAGTGGATATCCAATTTGATATGAGAATGCAATATTTTTAACACTTCTCAGGAACATACTACATACAATATAGACTGGTCTGTTGATGACTAACTGATGAGGTGGTGGCTTTTTACCAGTGGGATTAATGTCTACACACTGTATATTTCACATGTATGCAAATGTTCAACAGCATTGCTGACCATCATTTACTAGCTGCCAAAACCAAAACCTATGGATCTAAGGACTGTTGAGGAAACCACTGGATGGGTATGGAGTAGGAATATCAACTTGAGTTACCATATTGTTATAGTTAAGTGTGTGGACTCTTCTATTTTCTTAAAGTTTCAGCAATTTTTAAGGTATTTGATATAGTTAACGTTCTTGGTGTGAATGTGCCTTTAGACTGCTTTTCAAACAACTATCAATAAATACAACCATGGAATTTCTCTATAGGTCTACACTTGAAAAAAACACCTTACAAAAGCTAAGTCTAAATGCAATGTATTAAGAACTCTATGAACATCCCCCAAAATAGGTTTTGTTTGGTTCTGCAGTGTGGATACCATCACTGAGCTAAATGACAGGTGGCTTCTCAGCAAAAACATAACTTTGGGGCCCATGTCATTTTGTGGGCACAGTGCCTGGGGTACTTAACAAACAACAAAATTAGTTTGATCCTACTTTGTATCTGCAGGATACCACAAACTTACTATTACAGTTTTTCTGAATTGCTAAAACACATTTCTTGAAACCATCACTCATTTTCTCAAAACCTTAAACACAAATCCAAATACTCAAACTGAATTAACAAAACCTCTGACTCTTCCATCAAAATCAAACAATCACTGCAAAACCATTTTACTTGCACTCAAAATCAAACAGTGCTCTCAGATCAAACACACGAGTCAATAAAATAAACATTACAGAGCATTCATTAGAAACTACAGAGACAAAAATGGACAACACAGCATCCAGAACATTACAGAAAAAAGTATACTGTATTGAGTAAACAAGTTTGCAGTTCTGTAAAAAAGTTTAGTAATTGCAACTGAGTAAGGGGAATATATTGTATAGGCCTACTGTATGTACTGCAAGAATAGTATTGTGCTGAATATTGAATAGTACTGAATGTTTGTATATATTCAGCAC